ACCAGATTATCATCAGACTTGTCCATCACACTTTATACCAGAAGAACGTAAAGTAAGACATTTAAGATACTCAGAGCAAAAATGAGAGACCAAAATTTTATATTCAGCCAAACTCATTTCCAAGTATAAGGATCCTAAACATACTGTCAGTATGCAAGAACTCAGTGAATATTTTTCCCAGAATCTCTTCCTAAACATTTGCTGGAGAACAAGCTTCAGATAATCAAAATGAATGGAGAGATACAACAGAAGGACTGATGGTTGTTATCGTGTGTGTGTGTGTATGTGTGTGTAGAAGTAAGACAACATGAAGGTTAAGAAAGAGAGCATAGATTGAAATGGCCATATGTTTTAACAGGGTAGGTACAGTATAACTATTTTTTAAAATTTAAAATTGGTGGTAGAATATGTAGAACATATGAAGGTATATTTGAAGTTTTTAGAAATCATATTCATAGTGGTTGTATTGGTATTGTTTTTCTGAAATCATTGTAGCTGTAATGTGAGACAAAGCAAATTAGCTACTATGGAATATTGTAATCCGATATCCTCTGTGTTCTTGAGAACCAGTGTGGAAGAACAGAGATACAGATGTGAAACAGGAAATAGAGTAAAAGCCTTGTAGTTCTGAAGTACCTATCCTTCAAAGTAAGAGTTGAAAAGACTTAGAAACAATGACTAACTCAGGACCATCGAACATGCCTAGCACCTAATGTATGGTCTTGACAAATACTGGATACTTCTTTAAAAAATGAACGATTCCTATCTGTGTTAGGAAATGCATAAGATTAGCCCAAATAATTTTCTATAGCAGATAGCAAGGAAGCTATTGAGTGGTATCAGGTTCGTGTGCCAAAGAGCTGAGGGTCAACTTGTGGGGACACCCATTGACCAGAGATGGGTCAATTGCGCTTCAGGAAAGATATCTCTGCAGTGGCTTAAAGCACATGTAATATGTATATATATATATATATAACATGTGTATACACACACATACACACACACACACACACACACACACACATGTTATATATATCCATGGGTTTATAAATTTTTTTTAAAAAAGAATAATCAGATATTTGATCCTGCCTTTCCTTTCAAACTATACGACTGGGTAACCAAATAATAGAAGTATCCTAACTAGCAAATGAAAACAATGTTTGAGTTAGCGTATCATTTTTCACTCCCAGTTACTGAACATTACCGACTGCTAAATATTTCAAAATGAGAGATAGACATTATAAACCTCCTGATTGAAGCACAGAACACCATCCAGGAAGTAGTATTAAGGAGGGAGGGGGAGAAGAGAAAAGGGATGGAGGGAGAGAAGGAAGGAGGGAGAAAAGAAGTTGAATCTGATGAAGGCTGTGAATCAATTATCAATTTACAGGAAATAAAATACCAAGGAACATTCTAAACCACAACATAGGGATGTAATCACCAACATCCAGACTAGAATCTTCATAGTTCACATGTCCCGGTTTCATCAACAAATAAATTGCAAAAGAAGAAAAGAAAATGGTGGGCGATGGGCTAAATGACATATTTGTAAAACAGACAAAATGAACTATAGTGTTTACAAATGAACCTCAGTGGTAAAGCTATAAAGAAAAACAAGATAGTGATTCAGTAAAAGTGGTTTCTTTTAGGAAGGAGCGAGGGTATTATGATTGTGACAGATACAAACAGGGGTTCTGGGTCCCTGGCAAAGTTTTGTCTCCTGACCTGGGTATTTATACAGTTGGTTGCCTAATAATTTATTAAGTTCTGCATTTGTGAACCTTTCTGACTCTATGTGATATTTACAAAAAGTGGAAGGATTTGGATAAGCCAAGACAAAAAGGTATGCTGAGCAATCCACTGGTGCACAGCTGAGTACCTCCGAGCAGCTCAGAAAATACTGGTTCAAATCATTCACATTTATAGGAGGAAGGTTGTGTGCAGAAACCCATGAGGGTAGGAGTTCTCGAAGAGTGTCTTGCTTCTTATGCATGTCTGATAAAACTCCCACCAGACTAAAATGCAGCATCCTGTCTCTTCTGCATTCGCAGTTCAGTGTTAGTGCAGAGAAACAGACAACTCTACTCACTAGTTTTCCCTTAAATTCATCATCTCTGGCCTCCTTGAGGCCTGAGTGCCACCCAATACTGACTTCCCTCATCCATTCCTTCTCCTTTGTTGTTCGTACCCTTTCCTTTCATCTCAAATTACCAGCACCTCCTTTGCTTGTCTGCCCCTCCACCCCTCCTGCCACCTACTCAAGGACATAGCTCTTTCTCTAGCCTAAATCATCCATTGGTCCTTCTCCTACCAGCCCTTGCCTTCAGCGTACTAACACATCATTGCTTCTCCACTTTCAGAAATCTTTTACAATCCCATAGTATCTCCAACTGCTACTCTCATCTCTGCTCCCCTTTTTCATGCAGACCCCTAAAGAAAAAGTGTCTGTGTTCACCTCTTTCTCTGAGTCTCACTTAATCCCACCCCAAAGGCTTTTGGTTCTGATTCCCCTGAAATGGCTCTTGTCAAAATCACAGTGGCATCTACATGCCTAACTTCATCCTTAATTTATCATGGCATCTTCCTCGAAGTGTTTTGTTCACTTGGCTTTTGGGATACCCACATCCTGGTCAGTTTCCACCCACCTAATGGGCTGTTGCTTCTCAGTCTCCTTTGCTGGTGTCTTCTCATCTTTCCTACAGAGGTTGGGTAATCCAATCCAGTCTCATGCTTAGTGAGGTAACACAGTCAGATTGTCATACATCTAACCTAGTGTCAAACTTTCCTAGTAATTTCAAGGATTCAGGTAATCAAGAAGCACAGGCTAAAACCAGAGAAGTCCAGGTCACCAACGCAGTACTTCTGTGCTCCTTTGGCATGTTGGCTGTGCTCTGGGCAAGATTTATATATCTAAATCTACACAGTCTCTAAGAAATTCATGGAGTCATCGCTAATGCAAAATCTCTCAATTACATAAACTGTGTCATTTTTCATTACTTAATGAAATATTTCCACTTTATCACCTGATGATTGCACAGGTTATGACATTTCCCAAAGAGCCTTACCTCATAAATTCCTAGATTTTAGTTTGTTTGCCATTAACAATCTTAGACCTCTTTCTAGTAAATGTTGCTATGTATGTGTACCATTCCGATGTTTACAAGGAGATCTGACCAGGTCATTTTTCTTTCTTTCCTGGGACCAGAAAAATGAGAAAATGGATGAGAGGCCTGATGCTAATGGCTTCAGCATTTGTATCTACACCCATACCTTTTTTGAAGCACTAAACTCGTACATGCAATTAGCTATACAACATTGTGACTTAGCCATGTAATAGATCAGCAGATATGAGCACGACAGAAGTAATGATTTCTTTTCTCAACTCCCTAACTACACCTGTGTGAGGGCGCGTGTGTGCGCGCGCGCGCGCGCACACGCACACACACACACACACACACACACACACACACACACACACTCTTTCTTCTTCCACCATCTTCTTCCCACCCCACCCCCTCTTCTATCTTCACAGGAAAATACATTAAACTCACTTGACCCTTTTTTCTCTCACACCATGCATCTGATCTGTCTGAAATTCTGTAGTTTCCACCTTTAAAATATACCCAGCATTTACTCACTGATCCTCCAGCACTGGCTCCTTGTTCAAGTCACCACCATCTCTTACCCAACACCGGAACAAGCCCTGGCCTGCTTCTCTGCTTCCTGGCTCCTCCCTGACCCTCCAGAGGGCATCCTGGACATACAGCCAGATGGATAGCTTTAAAATATTAGTAAAATTATGTTACTTCTCAGCTCAGATCTCTCCAGTGGTTCTGGTACCTTTCAGAATGACAGTCAGAGCGCTCATAGCAGCTGTCAGGGGCCTGTACATTCTAGATCCCCATGAAATCTTATCGCCCACTTGTTCACTGGATCTCAGTCACAATGACCCCCTTACTGTATGTGGAACTAACCCAGCACATGGGGACCTCGGGAGCTTTGAATTGCTGTAACCTCATCTGGAATGTGCATTCCCCCAGCCACAAAGCCTAATTTTCTAGTCTCCTTCAGGTGTTTGCTTAAATGCACCTTCTCTGTAAGACATGCTCTACTCGCCAGTTTAAAACTGGAACCCCCAGGTTCCCTGGAATTGACCTCTTCCCTGTTTATTAGTGTCCTCACTGATCACCTTTGAGATGCTAGACATTCTAAACTGTTAGTCTGGACTGTTCCAGTGTTGTGGATAAGGGCACAGATGTTTGTTTTGTTCACTACTGAATCCTCAGCCCCCAAGATAGTGTCTGGCACCTAGTAGGTGCTCAACAAATGTTGCATAAATTAATTCATAATTGGGCAAATTCAGTTGACTTGCTCTGAGTTTACATTACACGCAATGTGAGAAGATCAAAACCTTAGGGCTGCAATGAACAAGACCTTGAACATGGTCTGATGGAGTCTGGGTTTTATTCTCCAACCTCAGGTAAGCCTTTAAGGCCAAATGAGCAAGGCAGTGGCCCAAAGAAATAAAGCCAGGAGTAGGAAATCATTCTGCAAGAACAGGAACAAAGAGAAAAATGTTGTTCTTTATCATTAGTCTTCATCTAGCTGAATATTTATTGATATTGTACTTTATATCATTGATAATGATGTGTTATAAGTGCCCATCATTTAACATATAAGTATGTTCCTGAGGATGTATATGAAATAAGATGGTCTACATATACTTGATGGCAACAGTGTCATAAAATATAAAATTTTGGGAAATGCGTTTTCTAAAAACAAAAATACAAAGAGTACGCACCTCACTAGTCCATTTTGCCAGTTTGAATTTGAAGACTTGTTCTGCATTGGATCAGACCTTGTCCTCCCTCCTCTACCCTCCCCATGCACAATTTTTACTGAAACTGGTTAAGCAAGAAAAGTCCCAACACTGTCCACCATGAACCTTAATATAGACGCAATCGCTTTGAAAAGCTCATGCTGCTTTCTGGATTTTGCAGTACAACCGCTACCAGCAGTATGGGGCTGAGGAGTGCGTGCTGCAGATGGGAGGTGTGCTGTGCCCCCACCCTGGCTGTGGAGCAGGGCTGGTACCCGAGGAAGGCCAGCGGAAGGTCACCTGCGAAGGTGGCAATGGCCTGGGCTGTGGGGTGAGTACAACCCCCACCCCGGGGGTGTTTGCTGTTGTGTTTGTTTGCTTTTACAAATGAAGTGGGATTATATTTTTATTTTATTCTCATTTTCCCTTTGGATTTGGGAGTCTTTGAACTGATGTATAAAAAAAATAGATTTTAAATTCTTATATAGGACCCCAGATTTTTAAAATGTATGCATTTATTTTGAGGGGAAAGAGTCATATTAAGATTTTCTGCTTTGAGGCCAGGCGTGGTAGCCCGTAATCTGAACATTTTGGGAGGTGGAGGCAAGAGGATTGCCTGAGCCCAAGGGTTCGAGATGAGCCTGGGCAACTTGGTGAGGCCTTGTCTTTACAATAAATCAAAAAATTAACCGGGCGTAGTGGCACACACCTGTGGTTCCAGCTACTTGGAAGACTGAGGCAGAAGGATTGCCTGAGCCCAGCAGGTCGAGGCTACAGGGACTGTGAGCATGCTACTGCACTACAGCCTGGGCAACTAGGTGACAGTGTAAGATTCCAACTCAAAGAAGAAAAAAAAAGACTTTCTGCTTTGTTTGCCCTAGGATATTCTGAACCACTAGGCCAGACTTTTCAACTTTTCACCTAGTGCTCAGCTGATTCAGAACAAAAATTTATTCTTTCTTCAGACTTACCTTTAAGTAGACAGGAGTGAAGGAGAAAGAGAATCTGCCATCAGTGAGGTCTTAGTGACAATGTTTGCCTAAGGATTTCAAAACCTAAAATGAAGATTAATATGGAAACCTTGAAATATTATTGTGTCGTAAAAATAATTTTAAGTAGAAATGAGCAAAACTAATGTTGCCTCTTTGGGAAGCAGAATAAAAACCATGGAAAGTGTTTGTTCTAAGAGATCCGACCATGTGACCCGGACGGTTTCTGGAATGAATCTATGGCTGCAAGCTCCCGGCACAGGGAAAGGAAGCATAACTCAAACACAAAAAGGCTCACTAAATTATAGGTTAAAATGACGAATGGATAATAATCCTGATATTAAGTTTCTTGCAGGCTAGAAAAGGAAGGAAGCATATGTGCTTATAAGAGGCTATTGAATTTTGATGGGAAACATTTCTTTTAAAATTGCAACTTCACAAGGAGCTTTGTATGAGAAAGGGTGCTGATGACAGAGGTGTATTAGCCGGGCCTGATTTTTGGCTGAGCTCTGGAAGTCACCTACGCATAAATGGGCGCACGCTCCCGTTAGCAAAGCTTCCTGTCTGTTGTGCAGAGGAACTCATAAAACCCAGGGTTGAGCAAGGGAGCAGAGGAAGCAGAAGCTGGAAAATAATGAGAGACTATAGTGCCTCGAAGAAAAGAAATACCTCTGGATTGATGATCACTATTGCATTAGAGGAAAACTCAAGTCATGTTTGCTATCCTTTGAAATTCTGGAAATCAGACCACACTTTTCGGCCTTAGTCATCATCGTTTACTGTGTAATCTGCACTGATTGTGTGTGGTCAGAGCAGGCTGCCAGATTCTGGGATCAGAATGCTAGCAAAGCCTTTCTTTTAAAATGAGTTTTTAACTAAATGTTTTTAATTAATGGGTAAATTGTATGCTTGTGTCTCTACCTACTGCCAGTAAGCTTCCTAAAGCTGGATTTTGAGATTTGACCATTTTTTATGAGGTGGAAGATTTCTCCAGTCTACCTTCTGCATTCCGTTGTCTACCTTGATTTAAGAGCTTTGAAGGTTTTATGTGATTTTTAAGTTTTGAATATCTTTATCTTCCCTTTTTGTAATGCAAGTACGTTTTAAGTAAATAACATGTATCCCATACTTGTCACGATGACTCACTCTTGTCATCCTCGCACATTAGAAGGTCAAGGTGGGAAGATTGCTTGAGCCCAGGAGTTTGAAATATTAGCTGTGCATGGTGGCATGTCTGGAGTCCCAGATACTCTGGAGGCTGAGGCAGAAGGATCACCTGAGCCCAGAAGGTTGAGGCTGCAGTGAGCCATGACCATGCCATTGCACTGCAGCCTGGGTGAGGGAGTGAGACCCAGACTCAAAAAGTAAATAAATAACATACACACTTAAGCTCCAAATCATGGAAAATTACTTTAAAAGAGACTAAAAATGTTTTAATATCTTTGGGTTAAGAGAGTTTGGGGCAAATTTCACCTAGAGGAAGAAAGCTGTATTCTGAAAGTTTCTTCATCCTTTGGCAATTCTAGGTAACACATTTTTATTTTATTGTGATTAGTTCTGTTGTGTTGTTTTTGGAGGTGTGTCTGTTGATGTGTATTAGTTATCTATTGCTGCATAACAAACAACTCTAAATTGTAACAATTTGACATAACAAGCATTTGTCATCTCACAGAGTTTCTGAGAGTAAGGAATCACCCCATAAGTGACTTTGCTGGGTCTTTCTGGTTCAGGGTCCCCCATGAGGTCACAGATATCTGTGAGGTGCAGTTATCTGAAAGCTTAACTGGGGCTGAAAGATGCATCTCCAATATGGTTCATTCACATGACTCTTGGCAAAAAAGTACTCGGTTCTTCACTGGCTATTGTTAGGAGGCCACAGGTTCTCACCACTGGGTCCTCTTCTTAGGCCATTTGTCCCTGCAGTGGCAGCTAATGTCCACCAATGCAAGTGTTCCAAAAGAGAAAACAAAGAAGAAGCCATGGTGTCTTGTAGGACCTGATCCTCAAGGCTGCACACTGTTCCTCCCACTTTTTTCTATTGGTCATAAGTAAGGTACTAGACCCAGCTCACTCTCAAGGGGAAGAGGATTAGGCTCCATCTTAAAGGAAAGAGTTTCAAAGAATGTATGAGCATATTTCAGACCACCACAATTTGCAATTTGAAGAAGAAAAAAGAACAGAGAGAAACAATTTTCTGAAGGATGCACCTAACTTTAGGCTTTCCTTTCCCTGTCTTTTTTATCCCATTCTCCATACTCTTGCAGTTTCCATTGCTGTGGCTTTTCAGCAAAGACACATTTGACCTCATCCTTGTCCTTTTTCTTAAAATCCTAAACTATAACAGAAGGATGATAATACAACTTAAATGCTGAAGGAATGTTGTAGTGATTAAAAAAGATGTTGGGTTGGATGTCTTAAGTTCAAATCCTGGCTGCAGAAACTACTAGTCTTAATCTTTCTCAATTTCCTCCTCTCTAAAATAGACTACACAATAGTAACCCTGTATATGATTATTGTGAATACTTCAATGAGATAATCAGCATAAAATACTTAAAACAGTGTTTGGCATAGAGTAAGTGCATATTTATTTAATATTTCATCAAAAACTTCAACAATATTTATCAAAGCTTACTCAAAAGACCCAATATTTAAGGAAAATTGCTTACATGACATTCACTTGATCTATTCTTCCAAATGTGCAGAATCTACCCCTGGGTCAAACCAGATGTACAACAGAGAAATAGGCACCTAGACCTCACTATCATAGCCCTTCAGAGAAGGACTTTTCCTGGGTATTATGTTGCTATGATGCAGTTTGTTTATACTGTGGTCTCTTCACAGGAGATTTGATAGATGTGGTTCAGGACATCCTAATGAACTTTTCCATAAGGAACCATGGTTACTAGTCCTGATCTGAGTCTCAGGAATACTTATGTTTGTCTTAACAAAAGTTGTCTTTTGGACATTGTTAACAGACCAACTGATAAGGTTGAAAGTTGACTGCTAGAAAATGTGGAGCCACATTTGTGGCTACCTACAGCATAGATACCGGCCATTAACATGGGAGATTTGGAAGCTCACTTCTTGGCTTTCCATTTTTTCTTCTTTCTCTTCCCCTTTTCCTGAGTGCTGTTTTACTGTGAAATGTACATCTTTATAAGCTGCCTGTCTTTTCTGGAGTTAAGTATGGTAATAGGAAGTCATCATGTGGAAGAAATTGTGGTTAGCTATGTTGCTTCAGAGGCAGAATATGCCCCAATACATAGAAGAAGATGAATCTCTTCTTACTCTTTGCTCTAACACAATGAACAACCAAGAACAAAATAAGCTACTTCAGGTAGTAGGGAATGCCTCATCCTATATAGTGTTCAAGGAAAAGTTATTGGTAACAAAGCTCTAGAAAATTATGGTCTTGGATGTGGAAGAATCCCTAGACATCATTAACCCCAGTGGTTCTCAAGATGTAGTTTATGGGTTTATTATAAGATTCCTGTGAATCCACCTGTGCTTAATTTTTTCATCAGCTATCAACAGATACAAAAAGTACAACTCTTACTAGTAGGTATGCAGTAAATGTTTGCTTTACAAAAAGAACCTCATGTGTAAAAAGACTGAAAACTAAACTCCTAGTCACTCATAGAATTTAAAAATTATTCAGAGCTGAACACCTAGGTGTTGAGCTCCAGGCTTGCAGTTGTTCTAATCTTCTAGTCATTCCTCCCAGCCCTGTGTGCCTGGAGGGTCCTCCTCTATCTATTGTTTCTATTGTGTGTGGTTTCTATCTGAAGAAACAGGCTGCCATGTCTTTATTGATGTGGGCTTCTTTAGAATATGTGCTACAGTTAGTATTTACAACTCCACTGTTCAATCATATAGGAATGTCTATAGGAAAATCAATTTCCCACACGCTTCACTAGGCTTACTCATTACCTGAGGAACAACGTATATCAGTTAATAAGTAAAGACAAGGGTTTCCATTTAAATGATGATGTCAGTTCATTTAGGAAAGGCCTAATGGATATGTGAGGAATATAGAAAATTTATTATTGATATAAAAAATTCTTTGAGAAAAAGTACAACCTTCCAGGACTCAAGCTGAAGTGTTACACTGGTTTTATGCCTTCATATTCCTGTTCTAATTTACACTCTTGTCCTCAGTAAATCATATATTTAGAGTTGAACATTCATTGAAAGAAAGAATAAAGCCGGGCTCGGTGGCTCAGCCTGTAATCCCGCGCCTTTGGGAGGCTGAGGTGAGTGGATTGCCTGAGTCCGCGGGTTCGAGACCCGACTGGGCAGCGAGACCTCATCTCTACAATAAATCAAAAAATCAGCCGGGCGT